TGACCTGGCCCTTCTATCCCATACACACCAACAAACTCAGGTCAAGGCAACCAGTGTAGCATAAGTCTCTACATCAGTAGGTCTCGGTATACACAAAATAAAAAGCAAAATCCTCAAACACAACATGGAGAACACCAGCGAAACCAGTCACATTTGATGGAGAAACTGTGGAAGATGTGGAATCTTTCACTAACCTGGGGAGCATCATCGATGAACATGGAGGATCGAATGCACACGTGAAGGCAAGGATTATCAAAGCAAAGGCCGCATTCCTACAATTGAAGAACATATAGAACTCAAAACAACAGTCTGTCAACCAATATCAAAGTCACAATCTTCAATACGAACATCTAGACAGTTCCACTGGATGAGGCTGAAATGTGGAGAACTACCACAACCATCATCAAGAAGGTGCAAGTATTTATGAATAGTTGTCTACGCAAGATACTCAACATCCATTGGCCAGATACCATCAGTAACAGCCTACTGTTGGAGAGAACAAACCAGCTTCGAAGTGAAGAGGAAGTTAGGAAAAGACGTTGGAAGTGAATAGGACATTGAGGACATTAAGGGAATCACCAAACTGCATCACGAGGTAAGCTCTAACTTGGAATGCAGAAGGGAAGCGGAAAAGAGGAAGGCCGAAGCACACATTGCGTCGGGAAATGGAAACACGAAAAGGATGAATAGCAACTGGAAAGGATTGCCCAGGACAGAGTTGGATGGAGAGCATTGGTGGGTGGCCTGTGTTCCTCCGCAATGAGTAACAGACGTAAGTAAGTACTTTGGATTCTGATTAAATCTACTGAATGTTCAATTGCATAATCTTGTCTAACTGAAGAAGGCTTGTCATTTGAACGCGAAATCACATTGAATTAATCCATACAATGAAAATACATTGAAAGTCAAATAAACTAACTACACACTAAATGAATCAATGCAATGAACAAGAATCACGTTAAATCAGTACTAGAATCAATTTGTTTATATTTCATATTTAGGGATTTCATGTTTTCAACGGTGTAGTTATAATGGTGACCAATGATATAACGTACTTCTGATGAGTAACTAATGCAGTTGTTAGGAAGCAGGTACTAGGTAAGGATGGCAAATCAATTGAAGTAGTGAAACTTCATCAGTTGAGATGGCTGGGACATGTGTTACGTATGCCACCGACTGCCCCGACGTGTTATGTTTTATGGTGTAGGAGTAGGTTGAGAGAAAGTTAGGGTCTGCCAGACCAAGTCAGTCAGAAACAACGTGGAACTTCATACGTACGTACGTACATCAGTTCGAGTTGCCTTACCACATTGGCACAGAGATTCAGTTATCGTCTCAAATCCCGTAGTGCCAGAGTAGTAAAAGTATAAGTAGTGACAGAAAACGTTAAGGTTTGGTGGTGTTATTTAAGGAGTATAGTCCAGTGGAATATATTTGGAAAGAAAATAAACGACATGGAGAATTCAGAAGATTAGAGTTTGGGAGAATACAGAAAGTGGATGCACCTGCGCCATTGCAAACAATTTTTAGCCATGTCATTCAAGGTCTCTAACCATCGGTTGCTATCATCTCGCGGTCCCCAACCAGGTAGTTTACATCTACCAACATGACTCAGTCCACTTGTCAGTGACTTCATGGATTTGTGCCATGTTTTGGTCTGGCCGCCCCTACCTTTCTTCCAACCTATTCCTAAACATCGCACATCGTGGCAGTCGGTGGTCGAGTATGTGCAACACATGTCCCAGCCATCTCAACTGATTAAGTTTCACTACTTCCTCAATTGATTTGCCATCCTTACCTAGTACCCGTTTCATAACAACTGCATTACTTACTCGGTGGTCCCAGGATATACGAGCGATGTTTCGAAGACACTTATGATCAAATACTAGTAACCTACGAATATCCTCTACTCTTGCCGGCCATGTTTCACTGCCATAAAGTAGGACGGAACGAACTGTTGTGCAGTAAACTCGTCCTTTGGTTACTAGACGGATATCTCGCCTACGCCACAAATGACGCAAGTTGGCAAAAGCTAGTTGAGCCTTTTGTATCCGTGCTGAGATTTCGTCACACACCAGACCACAAGGGCTGATGAGACTTCCAAGATAAGTGAAGCGGTCGACACGCTCAACAAATTCACTTCTTATCACTAGTTCGGGTGCCGATGCAACCTAATCCTGAAGCAACATTTTGCATGTTGAGGGAGAAAATCGCATCCCGAACATGCCTGCATTGTTGCTTAGAGTGGTCAGCAGACTCTGCATTTTGTCAGCGTCTTCACCGAATAGAACTATGTCATCGGCATACTGTAAGTCAACAAGTGAATCTCCCGGTAGAAGTTCAACTCTTGGAAATTTATATGAGGACCAAAACATGGCACAAATCCATGAAGTCACTGACAAGTGGACTGAGCTATGTTAATAGATGTAGACTACCTGGTTGGGATCTGCGAGATGATAGCCACTGATGGTATGAGACCTTGAATGATATGGCTCAAAATCGTTTGCAATGGCGCAGGTGCTTCCACTCTTTCTGTTCTTCTGAATTCTTCGTGTTCCTTTATTTTTCCTCTACAAATTTATTTCACTGGATTATACTCCTTGACTAACATCTTCAAACCTTAATGTTTCCGATTACTGCTTATACTTTTAGTACCTCTACCACTGTGGGATTTGAATCGACAGCTGCATCTCTGTTCTAATGTGGTATGTCAACTCGAACTGATGTACGTACGTAAGAAGTTCCACGTTGTTACTGACTGACCTGACAGAGCGGCTAAAAATATTCAGATACCATAATATCATAAATCTTAGTATTAATCAGTGAGTGGGAACTACAAACTTTTCAAACACTTACCTGTATTTTGGTACTAGTAATGTTCCAACAAATTCAAGCCGATTTTGAATGGATAATTTTTTGTGTTTTTTTTCAGCACTGTTTTCAACCTCTCTTTGAATATCATCAGTTTAAATTCTTATCGTAATTCATTCATTTCTCTTCACGAACTTCTGATTTTTCAAATGAATCATCCAAATTGGTTTTATACACTATATTTAACTGTTATTCAATTCATCATTTATGGGGTTTGTGAAGAATTATCTGTTAGTCCTATTGCTCAAGCGCTACGTGTTCATGAATCTGGGATTTTTGAATGTTCTTTCGAAAACTCATCCTATAATTCAGACTTAAGGTGGATATTGTTTGATGGAACAGTTCTATTAAATGGTAACACATCAGAAGATGGTCGATTTATTAATGAAGATGGTATCCTTAAAATGACTAATCTTACTATACCTGATTCTGGTGAATATAACTGTGAAAATGTTGAAGTCAATACCACTGTTACTGCTCATCTTAAAGTGTATATTATGCCATCTTATTTATTAGAAGGATCCATTGTTCTTGCTATCAATGGTATTCTCTTAATTTTATTCATTTATTCAATGATAAAAACATATCGAGAACAAAATATTAAAGATCGTATGCATGCTTTCTAATGGTTTATTGTTTACTTAATGGTAAAGATTTCTCTCTCTGATCTTGTTTTTTTTTTACATCAATTGCCATTCCTTATCGATTATTGTTTTTCTTTGCGTGAATTTTCTAAGTAGTATAATTACATGCGGTCTACTATGCTTTATAATTTATACATGCAGTTCAATGCATTCACTTGTATCTGATATTCATCTCTTAGCTATATTATAAACTGTCTTTACAAGAAAATAGCAATTCATGGATTTCTTTTGCAGTTATGAAACATGTTGTTTTGTTTTTCGCAATCTGAAATCACCCTTTTTTTTTTACTCTTAATACAAATCTGTGAATATGTTGTTGTTAATGATGATTTTTTGGATAGTTTTAAAATTTATGTTAACTTTATACTTAATATCTAAAAATTCTGTTTTGAATTAAGGGAACAATTTGATTTGTTTCATCTTGTCTTATTTTTGTTTGACATAAAAAAGATTCAATAAATTAATTTAACATTGATGATCTTGTTGTCTACTTGATAACATTATCCCAGAACTCGAGGAATAACTACTGGATGTCAGCCACACAGAGCATTTCTGTGAGTAGTTTTTGGCGCTTGCTCTGTATTTTCTAAGCTTAATGTCTAGTGTCTAAAGCCTGTGGAACAAGTGGAGGGTGTGCTAGTTTCTAGGATATATGCTTTCTATCTGTTCCGTCTATGGGACGCTGGTTATCTGTAAGAAATGCTTTGTTGCCGCTGCATCCTACTATATTTCTACAAACTTTAAACTTATTGATTTCTAGTCTTATCACTCTTCAAATGACCTTTCTGACATCGTTAGATTAAAAAAGGTGTTCCTTCCAATATTACTTAGCGAGGTTGTAGATACGGTCGGGCAATGAAATTCATAGTATACCAGTTAAAAAGTGTACATCTTTGAATACTGGAATATGATATGCCATATGACTTTGCCAATGTATCAGATCAAACAGATGCTATGTGATTGATTCATGTCTAGTTAAATATAAGTCCTGCAAATTGCAGACACCTTAACACTGAACACAGCTGTTCAGCTATCACTTTTATGGAACTCAACAGAGCTATCAAATATCTGCTTTATGTGATTTATACTAGGCACTTAATTTGAAAATAATATTATTCATATGGTATTTAGTTATTGATTGGTAGTGCATTTATCACATTAAACTTGTTAGAAAAAGCATGTATAATATTTGCATAACAGATTTCTAGAATTTAACATTTAGTCATGAGTTAGTAGATCACGTTTTCATTGTTGTGTTTCTTTGTAATATAGAGAATGTACAACATAATGATACCGCCAATTAAAGAGCAGTGAATTATCGATCGGACCAATGATGCATCAAACCCGTGCGAGTAGTCTATAATCCTTATCGGTCCTTAGATGGTGGTTGGAGGTAGTCGACAGGAAACCCTGGACCCGGATTTCGTGATACTTGGCACTCGTGTACCTACTGGTGCTCCCTAACGGATTTTATCCAGATAACCAATGGAGCTAGAAAGAAAGCACTCAGAAGCAAACAGTAACAGACAATTGAAACCAGGTTTGAAGCTTCTAACTATCTAATTAGCACAAAAGAAAAACATTAGTGTGCATAATTCAAGTGGCCATGAAACAAGGTTATAATAGAAACAAGTCAAAATTGGTTTACATAACTTAACGACTGTTAAGAGTCCAACAAAATGTTAAAGGTTATACAAAATGCAAGAGTTTTGTCCTAAAGCCCGTCATGTATTACTTAACAAGATCGTCAAACAGAACACCGACTTATACGACCTTAGCCCTGTACCAAACAAATGACGCGTTAACCGCTATGAGCAGCCTAGAATCAACTCTGAGTCCTTATTTGTTCTTCTCGTCTAGACCTGTTCGTTTGAGTCTAGCTCCCACTGTATGAATCATGTATTTCAGACATACTTGGTTTATATACACACAAACCAGACTACATTATACCATAAAATAGGAAATAATTATTAGACAATATCAAATCAAAATGTGAGTGTGGGGTACTGTAACTAATAAATTGAGATTAGTAAATCGTTTAGTAGTAGCTAATCGGTCAAATGAAAGTTTATAATAAAAGAAATATGAATATACATATAATATAGTTGGCGAGACTATTATTTATGGACGAGCCAATCAGGTATAAGATAACAGATCTCGAATTTTGGCGTGAAATTCACTCATCCATTTGGCTAAATAGAGTTTTAGCATTATATCTGATATCAGTTCGTGATCAAAACCCAAAATGTAATTCCTAACCCTAACGGTCAACTGTAGATCATAATTCTAATTCCTCACACAGGTTTATAATCCTCATTTGGTCCTAGTTATTTGATGAACACCCTCAAGGTTACTTTAAGGTCGTCCATAGATTATAGTCTCACCATTTAATCTGCCCAGTGACTAAATTAGATTCTATATGTCATTCATTTTTAAATTATAATTAGTCCATTGATTCAAAATAAGTATTTCTCATCTTCTCTAGGTGAACCCACTCCATCCAACAACCAAGTTTATTCACTGGAGATTTACTTTTACCATGTGAAGACAGTTAATAATATTTCTCTGAAGTAAGCTATAACACATGCCAATTCAAGAAAATTTAAGAAAAGGAAACCCACTTTTTATATTCTTTAACCTATTATAGGATCATAAAGCATAAATATGCGTTACATATAGATGCTTAATTTAGTTCCCCCCTTGAAATATGTATCAATCGATATCAGTTTTTCTTAGTTACCATCAGCATATAAAAAAATGTGTCTTCAAATCAATACTTTAAAAACTTCTAAGAAATACCTTTACCTTATAGAACAAGAAACACTTTACATTCATTTATGGTATGTTAAATTTAATTTCAACTAATAGAAATAATGAAAATTTTTTATATCTAACAACAAAGGCAATAATAGTTATTAATGAACTTAGACTTGATGATTTGAACTTACATTGAAAGGAGTAAAATACCAGCTAACATGCACAAAGGAATATATTATGTAATATAGAGTAATATGCTATCTAGTATAATTAAACAATAACTTTAAATCTGTACTAAGACGAAACAGATACTTGGTGCCTCTTAATTTTCAATGATTGTTTAGGAATAATTAGTCCAGGATGTAAAACTCCAGTGCATTACGCCAACCAATGATATCAACGAAGATGGTAGAGATCAGTTTTATGGGAGGCTGTAATAAATCATAGCGATGTGTCCAAAAAACGACATGACCATCCTGATGGGAGACACAAACTCCTAAGTCGTAATGGACAACACCGGATATGAAGATACTATGGCACAACATGGACTGACTGGAAGAAAGGAACGAGAACAGTTACAGATTTGCAAATTTATGTGCATTCAACAAAATGGTTATAGGCATTACAATATTCCCTCCTCACACAAACGAATACATAAAGCTACTTATGTGAGTCTCATTGAATCACACCACGGATAACCAAATAGATCATATTTGTATCGCTAAAAAATTCACAGGGTTAAAGACATAAGAATCAGGAGTGGTGCTGACATAGCTTCAGGTCACCACCTGGTGGTTGTCAAGATGAAGCTGAAGCTAAAGAAACGGTGAAAGATTGGACAAACAGCAATGCGAATGTTCAATACAGCCTTCCTTCGATATACTAGCAAACTCAACCAATTCAAGATAACTCTCAACAACAGGTTAAAAACCTTACAGGATCTACTGGAAGAAGAAGGAACTACTGTTGAGGACAACTGGAAAGGGATCAAATTGGCATTAACATCAACGTGTCAGGAGGTTCTAGGCCACAAGAGGCATCATCATAAGGGATGGATCTCTATGGAAACGCTGGGCGAGATTGATGAAAGGGAGAACAAAACGACAGTAATTAACAACAGTCGAACAAGAACAGAGAAAGTCAAGACACAAGATGAATACACAGAAGCAAACAAGCAAGTGAAGAGGAGCATTAGAGTCGACAAGCAGAAATACGTGGAAGAGCTAGCAACGACTGCGGAAAAAGCTGCAAGAGAAGGAAATATAAAACAGCTCTATGACACAACGAAGAAACTAGCAGGGAAATATAGTAAACCGAAGAGACCGATTAAGGACGAAAAAGGCAAGACAAACACCGAGATTCAAGAACAGATGGGTAGAATACTTCGAGGGAATCTTCAATAGATCAGCTCCATTGAATCCACCGGACATCTAAGCAGTACTTACAGACCTCCCTATAGATGTCACTCCACCAACGATCCCAGGAATCAGGGTGGCCATCAGATAAATGAGTGGTTGGAAAGAAACGGGACCTGACAATATACCAGCCAAAGCACTAAAGTCAAACATAGAAGTAACTGCAAAAATGTGCCACACTCTATTCAGGAAGATTTGGGAGAAGGAATAAACGTCGACAGATAGACTGGAAAGAAGGATACCTCATCAAGATACCAATGGAAGATCTGAGTAAATGTGAGAACTACAGAGGCATCACACTACTTCAGTACCAGGAAAAGATTTCAACAGTGTTGCCAAACTGGATGAAAGACTCAGTAGATGCCCAACTTCGAGATCAACAGGATGGATTCCGTATGTATTGGTCGTGCACTGACCAAATTGCGACACTACGGATAATCGTTGAGCAATCAATTGAATGGAACTCGTCACCATACATCAATTTCCTTGATTATGAGAATGCATTTGGCAGTGTGGGTAGGAAGACTTTATTAAAACCTCTTCGACGCTATGGTGTACCTGAGATCATCAACATCATGCTGAATTCATACGACGGACTACAATACAAAGTGGTGCATGGAAGACATCTGACAGACGCACCCCAAGCGAGGGCCGGTGTCAGAGAAGGTTGATTACTTTCATTTTTCTCTTTCTTCTGGTAGTCGACTGGATTATGAAGACGACATCTGAGTAAAAGCACGGAATACAACGAACAGCTCAGAATCAATTAGACGATTTGGACTTCGCAGATGACCTGGCCCTTCTATCCCATACACACCAACAAACGCAAGTCAAGGCAACCAGTGTAGCATAAGCCTCCAGATCAGTAGGTCTCGGTATATAAAAAGGATTAAATTGAAATGAATTTCCATCATTATCATCCATAAGAGATTTACTCAGCTTTTGTTTAGTAGTATAATTTGTCTTAGCAACCACTGTACTGCAAAGATTCATAAATTTAATATAACATATAAGAGAAATATTCGATAATATGCATGATGCCTGAGTATGAAGTTCAGTTAGTTTATTTATCATATCATTACATTTTTCCTTATGAGATTTCGCAAGCCGCAAAAGATTAGAAACATTTGAATGCAACTTATTGGATCGTAAGGATTTATAAAACTGTCTTGGAAATGTGTGTGTAATAATGCAAGTCTTGTAATACTCCAATTTTACTTTTTCAGATGCAATTTTGCACTTCAGATTAGCAAGTTCATCTAACCGTTTAATGCAAGACGAAGGAAGTTTTCCTTTCAAGAATTTAAAGCAATTAGTCCCTTTTATAAATTTCGATAGAAAAATGAGTAGACGAAGTTGATCTGAGAAATGCCAAGACCTCTTGTTTATTCAGTTCGAAAGAAAAAAGTTTATATCAATCTACCATATAGAGACGAATCCAACAGCATAGTTTTAAGACAGAGATTGAAAGCAGCCATTGGAAATATCTATTACGCTGCTCAATTGGTTGTGATTGAAAAGGCCATGATTCCTAATAGACCCAGACATTCCACTAATGATTACGTCACATCCCATTGTATTTACCAATTTACATGTTTGTGTGGACACACATACATAAGGAGGAGTAATTGAACAATGCAATCAAGAGTCTAGGAACATGTGCCTAAATGGCTTCAAAATCAATGTGTGTCAAATGGTCCGATCAACGTGGGAGGTAGAAAACCAGGTTCATCAATAGTGAAACATATAATTGAAACGGGGCACAGAATCGACATTAATACACAGCTTTTAAAATGTTGTATAGAAATTGTCAAGGACTAATTCTTAAGTTTATTGAAGCCTTGGCTATTCGTAAATTTAAGCCCCCCTTATGTGGACGAAAACAACTTGTCGTAACCTTGAATTTACCTTGGTAATCCTCAAGTCATTCTATGGCCTAGGTTAACGCGACAATTTCTTATTCTTTCTCTCCCCTTTGTTATTTTTTTGTACTTTAACTTTCATTTAATTTACGTTTATTAATTTTCATATAAAATGCCCTGACAAGTATATGTGTGACCAGATTGTTCGAAATGTATAGCGCAAATACATCACATTTTTCAGATCAACTCCGTCTTCTCATTGTTCTATCGAGATTTAGATAATACCTAGAAAGATTTATTAGACTATGTAGAAAAGCAGGACTTCGATGAAGCTAGTCATTGAATGAAGCAACATAAACCTCCAGACAGTGTTACTGCCGAAAAATTTCCAGTCTTTAAGATGGGACCATTCATCGTCGAGAACTTAACTAAATAAGAAAGATTGGTTCAGCGAAGAGTTCTCTTTTCGAAGAATTCATTTCAAAGCTGTACAATCGCAAATATATATAGTTACTTCTCAAAATAGCTGTGGCAAGATTAAACAATACCATTGTCGTGTCTGAATGTTTTCAGACTAAATATTGAGTTAGTAAGATTAAGGAAAGAAATGGTAAATTTTTTCGGGGGGGGGGCGGTGTTAAGTTTCTTTATGTTCTCTGCCCTTACTCTCTCCTCATCAACTCATTTTTCATGTATTGATTTACACTACTTATTAATATTCAGTAAATAATTGTGTTCCTAACAATTTCTATGCGCATTTCATAAAGTCAGTTTGTCCAGTAATTTTCCAAAGTATTTACATATACCTATAATGTAGTAAACAAGAACTTAGATGGGGAAACCCAATTCACTATTTGATGCATAATCACACAACACTTTCACAAAACATGAAAATCATATGTTAAATACATTTCATTATTTGCACATCTTTCATCGATTATCCTTTACATACTTTATGATTCTAATTGCTTTCTGTTTTCTATCCTTTCCTCTTCAATTCAATCTTTTTCCTACAAACATTCTACTTTTAATTTCTGCTACATAACACTTATACCCGTCAACATAAGTAGTATACACCGCAATAGTATTTATTGTATTTATCATTATAATTACTTTTGCTCATTTCTTATAACAGTTATTCTCACTTTTGTATAGTCATTTATTCTTTATTTAAACGTAACGGTTCCCATATTCGTTTGCTTTCGGTTCTCTTTCTGCTTGTTAATGAACTGTTATTAAGATTAGACACAACTATCAGCTGTTGTTTGCAATATCATATGTCACAAGTATTCTTTATATTATTATTATTGCAGGAATCCCGTTTTCTTACCACAGGTATGTCATGAGTTGAAGTTTGTAACTAATTTATGTCCATTTCTCAATAACGAGCCTCTATTCAAACTAATCGTCATTTGGTGAACTTCGGTTTCGCACGTATCTCAATCGTATGGTTAAACGCTTTTGTAATTTTAACATTATGTGAATGATTCTATAATGAGATTATTATATATATTTAACTCACTTATATTAAATTAACATAGTTGAAACTAGTGTTTTTCACTATTAATCTGAATTTATTTGTCCTTATAATATTTCATATTGATATCATAGTGTTTATTCTATTTAAATAGGACATAGAATCAGTGCTAAATTTATCTGCACCTGTGATTTTTATTTTTTCCTTAACTGCTAATTTTGTGCATTGCATTACACTACTTTTAAATATTCAGTAGTTTATCTCATTTCAATCATTTTTAGCATATAGAGTATACCATACCTAGTCTTTTTTGTATAACATTCATAAATATTTACAAAAATTTAAATTCAGATTATTTCTTACTCTAATTACCATTTCTTAATATCTTTATAAGTTACTTCCAGTGTTGTAGGTTCATTGAGTCTTTATTTAATTGTAATGTTTATTTACTTATCTTAGAAATTGTGAAACTCTACAACGACTTCAAGGATTGAGGTATGCTGATAATTTGTAATAATAGCATAACTTTATGAGAAAAAACCTCACTTGTTTGATCAAAAACTTTGATAGAATTGATGATGGAAGATCATCAGATATTTGACCTAATTCCTTTTGGATTTTTATGATTGATTATTGTGTAAATAGTTTTATAATAACCTATTGAGATTATTTATAATTTAATAAATTCTATGACAAAATACACCCTTTAGCTGTCCGAATTATCTACGAACAACAATGATAGTAGTGTAGTGAACGGACACTAAAGTGGTAACAATCAGTTTATTACTTAATATGAGACCATGCATTAAATACTTCATCTACAAATTTTCCATTAATTGTCATTCATATTCTGTATGATTCTTCCAATTCAAAATTCCTTTCTATTTCTCTTCCTGTTTTCTCCAACTTGATATTACTAACCTGCTGTTACCAGGTTTTTCACTTTTGCTTAGTGTTACATACTACAGATATACCTTGTTGACAACTGCCAAATAGTACGAAACCTAGATCCATTGTTTCTTATTGACTACCTTCAACTATCATCTTATCTCAACATAGTGCATGCAATGTCGAGTCACCTAGATTGGTGGCCACCTAGTGATTAAGCAATTGTAGGAAAAAAAGCTTATCTCGTGATGAATGAAATTTTAATCACTATGACTTACGAAAACTAATAGATCATCGATGAACATGGAGGAGCGGATGCACACGTGAAGGCGAGGATTATCAAAGCAAGGACCGCATTCCTACAATTGAAGAACATATGGAACTCAAAACAACTGTCTGTCAACCAATATCAAAGTCACAATCTTCAATACGAACATCTAGACAGTTCCACTGTACGGAGCTGAAACGTGGAGAACTACCACAACCATCATCAAGAAGGTGCAAGTATTTATGAATAGTTGTCTACGCAAGATACTCAACATCCATTGGCCAGATACCATCAGTAACAGCCTACTGTTGGAGAGAACAAACCAGCTTCGAAGTGAAGAGAAAGTTAGGAAAAGACGATGGAAGTGGATAGGACATTGAGGACATTAAGGGAATCAACAAACTGCATCACGAGGTAAGCTCTAACTTGGAATGCAGAAGGGAAGCGGAAAAGAGGAGGGTCAAAGAACACATTACATCGGAAGGAAGTAAGCTATTCTAACAGAATCGATTATTACCCTGTAACAAATTCTTGATATTTGTTTCTGTTGGTTATTTGAACATAACAATGAGATATACTACTTATAGGCTTCTCTTCTTCTATTAAGTAGAATAACCTATAAACTATCTAAAAAATGTCTTTATAATAAAAACATATTACATCTCACTTAGTGATTTCTCATTTAGAAAAAAAAAACAAAAAACTAATTCACTGGTCATTTTTATTTTATATTTGAATAAGAAAGAATGAAAATTGAACAGAAGTTAATCTTAGAATTCAAAGTGTATGAATTAATTTTGTATGTAGAATAGGAAAGGAAAAAATAATATTCTCATCTCTAGTTAGATATATTACTTACTTCCTTCCTTACACCTGTTACTCCTCGTGAAGGAGCATAGGCCGCCCACCAGCATGCTCCATCCAACCCTATCCCGGGGCAATCCTATACAACTCTTCCCAGTTGTTATTCATCCTTTTCATAACTAATTCTATTTCCCGATGTAATGTGTTCTTTGACCTTCCTCTTTTCCGCTTCAATTCTTCATTCCAAGTTAGAGCTTACCTCGTGATGCAGTTTGGTGATTCCCTTAATGTCCTCAATGTCCTATCCACTTCCATCGTCTTTTCCTAACTTCCTCTTCACTTCGAAGCTGGTTTGTTCTCTCCAACAGTAGGCTGTTACTGATGGTATCTGGCCAATGGATGTTGAGTATCTTGCGTAGACTACTCATAAATACTTGTACTATTTTGATAATGGTTGTGGTAGTTCTCCACATTTCAGCCTCATACAGTGGAACTGTCTAGATGTTCGTATTGAAGATTGTGACTTTGATATTGGTTGACAGACAGTTGTTTTGAGTTTCATATGTTCTTCAATTAGAATAAGATGTAAATTAAAAACAATCTCTGTCCTACCAATTTTAATAGCATACTGATTGAATGATAAGTTATACATAATAGATCATAATTTCAATTCAGTATTACGTAATGTTATAGTTATTCCTCATTTTTTTAATGAAACAGTTTTGTATCAACAACTGGTTTGAATTATATTATATAACTTACGGTTGAGTAGACCTAGAATATACCTTGAAAATAGCTCTAAGATGCTCTGAATACCCTAAGGAAACATTTTATCCAATTAATGCTGAAGATAAATGTCTTGGAAATATCTAGACAGTGAAAAGTCACGTGTGATTAGGTGATTGTCATATCCTGCTAGTATGTGTAGTGTCTACCATTATGTTAAGCCCAAATACTTTATTATTCTAACTTTCGGACAGCCCATTCTATTTATTCTATTTGAGTCACATTCTGAACTTGTTAATTATTTGCTTATCAATATCTTTACCGCCTTTATATGAGTGCGTAGGTTTATGTACACATCTTATTCCATTACTACTCATCACATGTCTGTAATTTATTTTTGTGTGCTTATAAATATTGATTAACTCTTTGTTAAATGGGAGTTGGCTTACCAGCCATCTCCACCGCGCGCCAATTCGGCTTCGCTTTCTCATCTTCTCATCGTTCCTCCGTTCGTTTGTCTAATCAACAATTATACAAAATATATGCATTCAAAACTCCATTCTCGTTATTTGACTTATTTAATTCCGTTATTAACTAACGCGATTTAAATCAATGATTATATACGAGGATAGACGATAGCAATCATTCATACGATCATATTGGAGTCAGATCACGGGCCACTAAATATGTTTAGTAAGGTGTGAGAACTTTCTAAAAGATTAAGATTATTTGAAATGCTATAAATACCCTCGATTATTTGTATATAAAACTAACCTTAGAGTTAAGCATTCTTTCTATATTTCACGCTTTTTCTCTCATGTTCAAATTGTCGTGCAAATTTAGCCTAAGGTTATTCGAAGAGCTTAAGAAACTGAATCTAGCGTTCAGTCAGAAGATTAATCACTTAACTAATGATACCCTTCTTTTTTTTTTTTAAAAAAAAAGAAGTTTTGACAAAACAAAAACAAAGAATTTTTATCTACTTCAAATATGATAACTAAATTCTATTATCAGTAAAGAATATTGATGAAGAACAGATGTTTAGAATGGGTGAACAGTTACTTTGTATCGATATATTTTGGTTTATAGATACTACAATGTAAAAATGTTATTTATCTAAGGTATATGCCTCCAAATGCCCTGGTACGGCCAAGAGTGGGGAGAGTCCGTTCTCCCTCTCCAAATGCTCACACCTGGCCACGTGCATACAGCTTCTGACAAGGAAGTCCTATTCACTACCTTCTCGAAACGGGGGTGTTGTTTATGAAAAAGAGAGGACAAAAAGCGAATGTCCGAAGCTTTAACCGGGTTGGTTGACACGGAGAGTTCACTAAGGCGAGTTGAAAAACCGTAATTCTAAACCAATAGTGCACATGGGCTCCAGTATCCTGAGAGAACAAATGGCTTATGAACCAATTGTTAGTCACCGGTTACCATGTGACTACATCTCCTGAGGTTAATCCAGTGCCTTGTGGATCAGATCTTTAGGTCGAATTCTTCGGGTGTGGCTCTCTAAGAAAACCACCTGCTTCGGTTTGGGTACCCGGGCAGTATCACAGCCCTCACACAAATTAAATGAGATTTGTGTTGCGTAAATGTATCTGGTACCCCCTTTTACCAATGTCTATATGTCCAAATAAATAAATAATAATAGTCTAAAGCATATCAGTTGTAACTACGTAAAATAGAGTCATTGTGCAGTGAACGAGAACACAAGTGGGGACAATCGAATGTTTTTAAATACGAAATTACATAAAATCTGAGAATCACAGTAAATACACCATTTGCAAAATGTCAATCAATCATCTCAGGTGTGATTGTTTTTTTCGTTTTTCACACCAATCATTCTTTGTTCTAGTTTTTTTCTTTGATCTACTTAACTATTTGTCACCAGATATTTCACTTTCGATTTATAATACATACTACTTATATCTGTCGATATCAGTAGTACATACTACATGTAATAAATCAAGATTTATGTAATCTGTTCATAGTTCTAAAATCAATAAAATAATATTCCGTTCTGACTAAATTAATGTGTCATGTTGAATATATTCCAACTATAGAAAAGTGATCATTAGACTTTGAGTTATCTATTCCACTTTGTCAAGATCAAGGATGGTTAACAATGATGAGTTAATTAACTACTGCATGAGTTTAATGCATGCAGTAACTTTATTATAAATTATACTAATCGTACTTCAGTGATTTGTTCTTTTAAATAAGTTATCTTTTTGATAGGGTTTATTTGTTCTGAAAGTGTACTAAGGTAACAATATACCCTGCCTATAAAGTTAGAGTGTCATTAGATGATGTAGCTTCAATGTAAGAATGAGTAAGTTAAGCAGTTAAGTTATTCCAGTCAACTCAAGCAGTGCAAGATTATCGATAGAACACTATGAGTAAGCTCGTTGTGCTAAGTATGACTCAGGAAGATTAAGAGAGGTTCAACAGAATTTTATACATTACCTTGAAAGCTACATTTATATTGATCTGATAACTGAATCGACCCAATGTTCACTTATAGAGCGTTTTATCTTATACTCTATACTTCCATAATCCATCTTTTACATACAGTGGAGGCTAAAACAACACATATCAATAGACCTAGTCACTATGCTTAGGAAAAGTTTGTACAGCTTCTTCATTTATTCTGGCCTTCTGACTGACTACGCCTATAATTCTTATAATTCTCTGTTGTGAGACACTTACTCACTGAAGAAAATGGTGGAAGATCGCTCAATATCATGAATTGGTTGAAGTTAAACATTATCACCGTTAGATGCCGGCTTAGTGGTCTGAAAGTTAAGCGTTCAAACACGAGACCGAAGGTTCTGGGTTCGAGTCCTGCATTTGGGATGGCGGATAAGCACTGTTGAGGAGTTCCATACTAAGACGAGACATCCGTTCAGTACTTGTAAATTCTGAATGGTGATCCATCCATGATATCAATCTAACTTCACAAAATATTTTCTAATCTTTTCAAATGTATTCAGTTTTAATTTCTAATTTTATTCATACATAATCTATCTTATTAAGTTTTACAAGTAACAATAAACGTTTATATTTCTGTAGGTTAATTTTCAATATACTCACTTCCCATTCCTGTTCCTACTTAAGGAGTTGTAATAAATAACTGATTATGTAATTTTGCTTTGATCTTAATCTTAATTGATCTGAGATCATTTATTTGATTGATTTTTTCTACGAAAAAAATCTCCATGTTGAGATGCAGTCTTGATGATGAACTAATTAACAAGAAAAAATGATGGGAAAACCTCGGTTTTTTTTTATTGAGATCATAAACCGATTGATGTTAGACCACCATTGAAAACCTGAAAGCATTGGACGGCCATTTAGTCCTATTGTGGGACTCCTCAGCAGTGCGCACCCACGATCCTACCAGCGGGATCCGAACCCAGGGCCTTCAGTCTCGCGCGCGAACGCCTAACCTACTGGACCACTGAGCCGGCACTAATGGTGTTAATGTCTAACCTCAATTCGTTGTTCGATTTAAAATATTTATGATTACTTATAATATCAACTGGTGTTGTTGTAGGAGCTGGTGTTATGTCAAGCTCCCCCCCCTCATAGGTTATTCTAACCTCTGGACAGATCAATCTGTTGATTCTTCTCAAGCCACATTTTTACCTTATCACTTGTTCGTTTATTAATCCTGACTGTTTTTTTTATATAATCGTATGTGTGCTTATTTCTTGTCTTACCCACTATATTGATTCATGCTTGGTTAAATGGAATTAGCTTATACGCCTTCTCCACCGCGAGTCAATTCCTTTGTTACGAATCTCTGATTGTCTGTTCCGATCAACAATTGTACAAAATATATGTATTCAAAAAATCCATTCTCGTATTTAACTTTCTTTAATTCCGTTATTCACTAACGCGACGAATGGAGACATATATATATATATATATATATATATATATATATATATATATATATATATATATATATATATATATATATATATATATATATATTTCGATAGCAATCAATATACGATCGAATTGAATTCAGATAATGGGCCACTAAATTGTATTTAATATCCATTGAGTGTTCAGGGAATGTTCATCATAAATAACTATCTTTGTTTTAAGAAAAGAAAACTCATTTCCTTTATTCTTAACCATTTATAATAGTTATAATCATTGTCTTTGTTCTCAAGTTTTTATTTTTTTTTTATTGTCGTTGTTCATCTGTTCGTTCTTTCTTCTTATTCTTCTTCTTCCTTCTTCTTTTTACTTTTTATATAAGTAACTGAGACAATTTCTCTTTTCACTTTTAACAAAGTCCATATACTCTCAATCACCGGAATCCATTCATTCATTCGTTCATGCTTCACTAATTTGTCTGATCCTCTCTCTCTCTCTTTATTTCTCTGATGAATAATGGAAGTAAAGAGAAAGAAAGAAATTTAAGGCAAAGAGAAGAAACTTATATATTTTTATGAATAGTTTTTTCTCTCTATATTTTTTGTTCCCTTTATTATCAGGTTTTGCCTTGCCTTGAATTTATCAGCATATGCTTTTATGAAAGAAAGGAAGAAGAAGAAGAGGAAGAAGGACAAGAACAAGAACAACAACAACAACAACTCAATAACTCATCATATTGTCATTATTTTTGAGTGGTTATTCCTGTTAATAATGATCAGTACTACTTACACTACTATTACTTCTACTACTTATGCTAATATGAATTACTAATGTTACTGTTCTAACCATCCTTTTTGGCCTTCGTTTTGATAAAGAATTTAATTATAGTTGCGTTATTTTATTACATTTTAGTCCCGTGTATGTGCGTGTATATATGTGTATGTGTGTATGTACATTTACGTTAGTATGTGAATATTGTTGCTGTCTCCAGTTAAGTGGAAAAAACATAAGACTGTAATTGACTACGTGATATATATTGAAAATTGAAACGCAATTAGGTCAATGATAAGTAGGTAAGTTGTTGTGATTACAGTTACTCTCACTCTCTCTTTCTCTTGGTTTTTATTCAAGTCTAATTATTAAATCATCCATCCACAAATTTCCACTGATACATACATCACTAGACAATTGAATCATTCATCTATTAAATATTTAGCTTAACTTATATCAAGTTTATTTTAATGCTTAGGTTACGCACGTATATATATATGTATATACATACCGCGAAATCGGCTTCTTAGCCTTCCTTTCCCTGTTATTTCTCCTTCGTTTATCATTTATTTATACATGCCCTAAGGAGAAATTTATATCATCAAAATGATAATCATAATAGTAATGATAGTCTTAGTGAGAATGGCATTAGTAACAATAAATAACCTGTTTATTTTATTTGTTTAGTTACTGTGTGTCTACTTTATACATCTATACCTAGTTTTTCAATAAAAACTGTACACTATAGACTTAAATCTTATTTTATATTTTTATTATTTCGTTCTTACAACCAAGCTACTACTACTATTACTAATACTACTAATAATAATAGTAATAATAATAATAATGGCAATAGAGAAGAAGAAGACGAAGAAACTCCCTAAAGCATTTATCCACACCTTTATCCGAAATATCATCATTTGATGAATGTAGGACATTTTCAAGAGGATACAGCTGATAATGAAGAAGTGGTGAATGTCGTAAAGAAGATATATATATATATATATATATATATATATATATATTCAGATGGGTTTTGTCGATTCTTATTTTTTTCTAATTGTGTATATGTGCATATGTATCTATGTACATATATATTAGTGTGTGTGTGTGTGGGGGGGTTGTTTAACTTTCAACTTACCTCTAATAATGATGAAAAATTTGAATGAAGTAGTTAATCGTATAAAATGTTCCTTAAATATACATTACTCTTTATTTATATTTGAATTGATTAGTTAAACACAAATTTGGCAATTTGTTTCATTGAAGAAGAAAAAAAGAAAAGAAAAAGAAAGAAAAGAAAAGAAAAAAAACTGGAGAAGAAGAAGAAGAAGTAGTAGTAGTAGTAGTAACGCTTTCATGATAAGTGTATCAGTATAAGATTAAGAAATGATAAGTGTAAAAGATATTTATTTAAAATAACTAACAACAATCTGAACGAGTTATCAATGGTTAAATACTATTCCTTTTCTATACTCATCCCATTTTCTTCTATCTGATCTCTATTTTAGATTCCGTTTCAATTAAATAGGAACTCTATTCAAATGATAAATGTGAATAATCAATCTTACACGATCCACAATAATAATAATAATGATAATAATAATAAGGATATTTGTTAGTTATGTGAACAATCACTTAGATTGGTCAAGTACGAATTATCACTTTATATTACAATATAGGATTTTATTAAATTTCATCAGTATAGTTAAATGTATTCTGTTCATGTGAGGATAAAACAAAGTTAAAAGTATGTAAGTGGTTAATATTTTGATGTATTACTAATTTAGCTATAAGTAAAGATGGATAGTGGTTAACAGTAGAATTCGAAACGTGAGTTTCGTCCCATTTGAGACTCGTCAGTTGGATGTATCTACACCTCAGAGTTGATGTTCATTCTGGGACTCGGACCCAGTATCGTCCACTTCAAAGGTTATCACGCAATTAATCAGTCTCATGTTGGTATATGTGCATCCTGTGTGGATTGCCTTGATCTTGCCTTAATTTACAAGTATTATAAGTAAAGATGAATAGTGGCTAGCAGTGGAATCCAGGACTCACGTTTCGTTTTATTTGGGACTCGTCGTCTGGATGCATCTGTATCTCAGAGTTGATGTTCACTCTGGAAGTCGAATCCAGTATCGTTCGCTTCAAACGTTATTGCGTTATCCACTTAGCTATTGAGTCCTGACAGCTACTTGCTTTTGCTATGGGATGAAGTGGGTAACGCGATGATGTTTGAAGCGAATGATACTGGATTCGACTTCCAGAGTGAAGATCAACTCTGAGGTGTAGGTACATCCAACTGAAGAGTCCTAAATAGGATGAAATGCACATCATGGATTCCACTGTTAGCCAATATCCATCTTTGCTTATAATGCTTGTGAATTAAGACAATATCGAGGCAATACGCACAATATTAACATATGACAATAAGAGGTTGATCAATTGCAGTCCTAAAGATCAATGGGAAGATTCAAGTAAACAATACTAAGTCATTTTAACTATAATTATCCCTCATATTAGTGAGGTTTAGTTTACATCTTTAAATGTTAGATAAATTCAATTCCTACTTGGAACATTATGATTTATTGTACTCTCTAAATTTAAAACTAGTTCCTAAGTCTTCAATAATTGTAAGTCGTTGGCTTGAGGTAACCGAATCATCAATAAATCGTCACGGCTTTTATAATGAAATTAATTTACTACCATTGAAAACCTAGAGGCACTGAACGGTAGTTTCATCCTAGTACGAAACTCATCAGCAGTATGGAACCCAGAACCGTCGATCTCATGAGTAAGCATTTAATCTCTAGACCCCTTAGCCGGCACCTAATGGTGTTAATGTCTAACGTCAACCAATCCACGAAAATGCAAAACCCTCATCCATTGCCTGCGGTGTGAATAACTATTTCACATCCGAGGCAGATTTAACTCCGCTGATTATCGCTTCTAGATAGAAATCCAGGAGTCACATCTTGAAATTAGTCACTAGTGAACACATTCAATTAATTATATATCATAACAATTGTTTATGGTTTACATAAATATACAAAGATGTGAACAAAATTATACATATTTCTTCATGCACATTCGTTTGAAAACTCAAACGTTGTGTGTAATACTCTGAGTTCTCGTTAAGTATAAGGCAGGAATTCAGTAATACCCAGTTCTTGATATCTAACTACTTAGTAAATTCTACTTAGTAGTTAAAAAAATCGTGGAACCAACCATAATTGTTACTTAATGGACGATTAATATTCACAACTAGTTGATCACTGAGTAGTATATCGGTATAATGTTTATCTACTCATTAATGTTTACCTAACAAGTTGAAATATAGCCATTCGTCTAAGTGATTAAACATTATATGCGATATGTTTTTATCGTAGCTAACGGGAGGTAGTCGGCATGGGATAAACTGAGCATCAGTTTCTTCAAGATTGCAGGTACGCTTTCCTGACGGGTTACACTAATCACGAAACCTAGGTTCATGGTTTCCTGTCCACTATTTATGATCAACCAATCTAGACGATTAGTTTGAACATCTTAAATCTATATAAGGTCATTAGTTGCTAGAATTGGTTGTCTGTGATTACGTTTTACTCTAGCACTAGGTTATGAATTTTACAAGGGGTATCATTTTCTTCAAGGCTACATGTACTTCTTGCTGACGAGTATCAGTTAACACGAAACTTCAGTTAAGCATAACTTCTTGCTAATTACGTTCAACCAACCAATACTGAACGAATTATCTTTCCCTGGACGACTTATCTACTTTTTGCCTCGTATGATTTTATTGTTACTGTTAGTAGCTCCAGAACTGTCTTGACATTTGTATTGAAAATTCTGACTTTGGTGTTGGTTGACAGACAGTTGTTTTGAGTTCCAGATGTTCTTCAGTTGTAAATATGCTGCTCTTGCTTTGCCAATCCGTGCCTTCACATCTTCATCAGATCCACCGTGTTCATCGATGATGCTGCCCAAATATGTAAAGGTTTTTACGTCTTCCAAAGCTTCTCCGTCAATTGTGATTGGATTGTTATATGCTGTGTTGTGTGGGAGAATCTTGCTTTTCCTTTTGTGTATATTGAGACCTATTGCTGCTGGGGCTGCTGCTACAGTGGTTGTTTTCTCCTGCATTTGTTGTTGTGTTTGCGATAGAAGAGCCAGATGATCTGCAAAGTCTACATCATCCAACTGCATCCTAGCTGTCCACTGTATCCCGTGCTTCCCTTCAGATGTTGACATCTTCATGATCCAGTCGATCACCAGGAGAAAGAATCAAGGATATAACTAAGTCATCAATCAGTATATAGTGCATTCACTTCAAGGTAATTCTTTAAGCTTCGTATATAAATCGCCCTGATAACCATCATTAAATTCATTCCAACCATGTATGAATTCAGACAGCAACATGAAGTGCCTACTATAGTTTATTATTGAATAGCACAAATCGTTAAGGCACATCAAATGAATTCGAGTAGAAAAGCTGATGCGCACGAAAGAGCGAATACAGAGGCTATCTGTTAAGTAAATTAATTGGAGGGTTTGGCAAAATTAAACGTGAACAAACTTAAGTGTTGGAGAGGTTACTGTCTACTATGACTAAGTTTTCTATTGTGAAGACATTTTCACATCACGTTTTCAGTATAAAATCATTTTATCCATATTTCACTAATGTTGTATGACAACTGTGAATTTATAGGAGTGATGGCGGTGAGACTATAATTTATGTACGACCTTTGAACGAATCTCAAGTGACCTTGATAAATATTAGCCAATCAGCAAACAGAAAGTATGGAGTAGCAATATATTATACGAAACCAAGGAAATAAAGTGGATACACTTTTTATACATGGTTCAAAAAATTGTCAAGGTTAGAAAGAGGTTCAGAGGTTCTAAAATCGTAATGTATGCAGTAAAGGGAATCATCCATATGGCTACAGAATAGTCGGCCTCTGGAGCCATGATAAGGTCG